TGGGTTGTAAGTGTCAAGCCTGGGTTAGGGTTGTCGCTGTCTACTGATAGGTGCGTATTGAGGGGTGCCCCAACGTTTGGAAGAATGTTGTCTGGGTGGAATTCGGATAAATCTATGAACTTACCGCGAATGGCGAGAGCATTGAGTGTTGATGGATCGACGTACGGGAGTTGTAGGTGCATCGGAGGGACGACTGCGGGAACTTTCGATGGTGCCGGTGGAGGAATGTTGCTGACTTGTCCTGTAGCGTGTGCTTGTTGTGCCAATAGCATGGGTTGTACAGCTGGTTGGTTGTACTGTGCGTAAGTGTGTTGTTGTTGAGCAACTGGTTGGTTTGAAGATAGACCGATAATCTGTTGGTTTGCTGCAATGAGTTGTGGTTGATTGAAAAGATCGTATATTTGCTGAGTAGCTGGTTGCGTCATTGCGAATTGGTTATCAGTTTGTTGTTGGTTCGTTGTGGAGGCTGGTGACAGCAAGTCGATTTGTAGCGGACTAGTGATAGTTGCGGCGTTTGGTGTTGAGTTTTCGTTGGCGAGTTGGTTACTAGTTTTCGTGGCTGTACGTTGTTTTTTGTTCGAAGTAGGAGGTGGCTGTTGGTCTTGAGAAAACCGTGCAGGAGTTTTCTTGGATCGAGTTGGTCTTCCACGTTTCTTCTGTGCTGGCATGATGAATGAAGATGGTCAACTTTCAAAGTTTGTGAGGAAAAATCGTTCGACAGCAAGCAATGAAGCAAGTGTGATATGACTGATGAGTGAATGCTTGGTCTAGTGGTTAAATAACCAAGATGCAGAGAATTGATTGGTTGGGGATGGGAGGATTATGGAATATACAAAATATGATTGGTTACCAAGAATGCAGGTTATGGAATGTGTACTTAATAACAAAGCATGGCAATGAAACAAAGGACTGGATGTGTAATGCAGAAAGAGGATTATTATAAGTATGAGGGTGATAATTAAAACATAACATGGAACAAAAGACTGGCAACGGGGTGAGGCAGATGAACCCCATGGTCAGGTGTTAAGTATAAACTACGATTGTGAAAACATGATATGTAGGTAGTGGACAGGTGTGGTCGTCCCAGCAGTGTTAACCTCAGATTACTATGTAATCAGCCAATTAACACTGATGGGACTACCGTAGTTAAATCAAGTGGGGTAAGACCAAATAAATGACTCAGAGACAAGGATGCCGGTAGGTAGGTATGGGGGGGAGCATCACACCCTCACGTGCAGGCGTCATAGCGGCTGACCCCATGATGCAATTCGCAGATTTGAATTACATCATGACATGAACAACGTGGTACCTGAGTGTTGGTGGTCACTATGGCAACCTCACAAGTAGGCGTCGTAAGAGTTGTTGCCACCGTACGAGTCACAATTTAGACTAACACTGCGGCAAGAACACCGTGGTACCCAAGCAAGGCTGTGTATGCTGCAGTGACAGCCCCCAAATTACGCATAGAGAACAACGAGCATGATTGTGTTAGAAAGTGCAAGTCATGCAAGCAAGATTTAATTTGCTTTGATGAGGTGGTAGCATGGAGACTACTCAAAA